CCTAGTTGCAAAGAGCCCATTCGCGCAGGCAAAACATATATGGAGAAAATATGCAGATAAATCGTAGCATTTAAAAAAGGCGTAGATTGGTAAAGTGTGGCTGTTTCCTGTAGCAGATCGTGTATGTTATCGTACAAGCGGCATAACCATGTAAAGGATATTGTCTGATGAGGGAGTCCACCTCTGCCTCGTCAGGACCCAGCTGGTTTTCTCCTCCGTCCTCCTCGTCCACAAATTTGTTCTCGTCGTACTCGTCCACGTCCACTCGTCTGAAGCGGGCGGACACGGTGTTCTTCGACATGTCGGTGGCGGTTTTGGGCTCTTATTATACCACGAAAAAGGCCTTTAATTTAACTGTGCTTTTCTGTGATACGGCTGTCACAGCAGAGGCAAGCAGTTTCCTGACTTCCTCCCCTTTCCTCTGTGTCGTCTGGGTTACTGTGTACACGCTATCGCCGCCTAGTGGCCTGCATCCGGAACCCGCAGGCTGCTACCTGTAGTTTCCATTTTTGGCCGATAGAGGGGGATCAAACCTAATAAATGAGACAGCTGTTTTATTAAGTATCATGAGTCAACCCCATTTATCTAAGAAATCTTTTACCCATCAAAAATTATATGCATGAAGATGTTTTTCAGTGTTCAGTTTCTGAAAAGTAATCTCCTACACACTATAATCTAAATGTCATTTCAGAACTCAGAACCATCTCCATGCTGCTAGATATTATATTTCTTTTTATACCCCCCTCCTTTTTTTGTTGCTTAAAACAGCCTAGTTTTCATATTCATTAATATTTAAAACAAATAGTAGTCATTCTTAAAAGAGCAAAAAATAAATAAATTCTTCTCATGTCATTAATGGCCCACAAAATACCAAAAATATTACCATTTTATTTTGTTTGTTTTTACTTTCAATAAAAATAGTGAATAAAACAAACAGCACATCAATGGTTTGATAAAATGAGACTTTTTGCGCATCTCACAACTCTTTAGCTTACTTTATTATTAATATGATGTCATTTCTTTTAACTTCAATTGTCTAATCCTCCAAGTAATAGTCCAAGTACTCCAATTCTTGGACATCTGTCCACGATTGTTTTGTACTCTAAAAACCAAAAATATATGTTGATATTATAGAACAGAACATACATACATACAAATACAACAAAAAAACAAACAACTAAACAATATAAAATACATTTAAAATAATTTATCAAAATGGATTGCTAAAAGATATAAATCTGCATCAGAATAATCCAATTCCCTTGAACTTCTCATTTTACTTGCATACATTGAAACATAGTTTTATTATTTTAAGATACAATCTCATTATAAAATTTATTTTTTTAAAAGAAATCAGCACCTAAATTTCCTTGAGCTTTCACAAAAGGATGTTAAAGACTATGATAAAAACCATTACAATAAAAATCCAGATAGCCTATATTAAAGTCTTTTTCAAGTTTCAAAGCAATTTTCATACAATTAATTTATAGAATTATTTATGTTTTTGTAATTGCAGTATTGTGGACTGGACAGAGAGAACCCTTATTGTTTTACTGCTTTATTTGATGGAAGAAACACATACTAGATATGGCTTGATGCAAGGTTTTTGTTATAGACTAAATAATGCACACACTCACACATGCACACAGGGTCAAGTGTGTGATACTCAGGCATAATATTCAAATAATTCACCTCTGTGATTGCGCAGGGATTTAGTCAGATAGGACCCAGATGTAACTTCTCCAGTGTGTGTGTATGTGTGTGTGAGTGTGTGCGCTTAGTCACATTGTCCACCTACCATTCATTGCTGTGGTGGAAGTATTTATTTAACTGGGTCTGTAATGGGGTGGTCTGTGGTGATCCCATAGACCACCACGTAAGCTCTGTGATGTCAGGGTTTTCCTGCGTCACATAAAACTAATTTTTTTTTTTTTTTGCAAGAAGCAAGACACAACTTTCCATGTCACAAATTCACTCACTAATCATTATTTGAATCAGACAATTTGGAAAGACAAAAAGACATACTTGCTTGTCAAACTGCACGACAAATGGGTGAAAGTTTCGGCTCCTTCCAATCTTTTTGTCCCAAAAAACTCACATGAGCTCATGTTAGATTCTGGCAGGGAATACTATGATGCTGCCATGGGTAACAGGCACAGTTTATTGGTATGGGTCCTGAACAATATGAGCTAGTCCAAAACACACAGGCTTTTTCTCGTAAGTCAAGAAAATGGGACACACCTAAATTACATTTTTGCCTTTTTTTTGTTAGGAGTGGAATGTTTAATTTATTATCTACCCTCTCTAGACTGACCGAGGAAGAGATATGATAACATTAGTTAGTGTATTTCTTACTGCAGACCTCCCATCTTGATACACACACACAGACACACACACTCCCACAGATGTATATCTGACATATCTGTTCCAGGAAGCTCTGTTTCAGTATGAAAAAGTGTTGCTCACTGCACTCGACATGTACGTAAGATATAAGAATAATAAGATTGTATGGTTGTGAAACATAGGAGTGTCATTCAACCTCCCAATAACCCCCCCTTCCACTCACTGCTCACACACTGCTCTCCTGCAGACACACAGACACTTATACATAAAAACATCCGTACACATTTTCTTTTCCTTTTCTCGCTCTGTCTTCCTTCCACTCCCTCACAAACACACATATGCCCACACACACATACACACACACAGCGTTGCGTGCATTGGTCATGAGTGTCCTCATTGTGGGCTTTGTGGAGTGCCCCAACCCGTCTGTGCTATGTGAATGACTCAGCACATCAAAAGGCAAGAATACAGGCACATACATGAGCTTCACGTGAATGTACAAATTAACAAGCACTGGAAATTTTCAATATGGAGACCATTTCCCCCTCTGCTGTTCAGTGCACATACCAGGACAGGCAGACTCTGCAGAGGAGGTGAAACTCGAAACAACCTCCGAAAAACTGTCTGTATACTTCTGATTTTATGTCAGAGCAAATCTGCAGGGCGCTGGGCCAGGTGCTTCCGTGCCAGCAAGGAGGACTACCATCACAGCAAAGTATCCTAAGCACTTAATTAGTACTCTCACATGAGAGGAATATTGCTCTTGGATGATGATTTAATTGGGGAATGTAATGATTTAGTGGGTGCTGTGTTGGAGCAGGTCTTCAGACTGGGAGAGACTGTGGGTGGCTTCTTCCTTTTTGGAAGTGAGAGTGGTTCTGGTGTGTTGTTTTGTAACATCACACTGAGCTTAAAGTTACCCATTTAGAGCATATTGAGATTACTGTACCGGTGATGCATAGGGTTTGGCTTTGAGGTTTATTGATTAACACACTGTCAGTCATCATAAGAGTCCTAATTGAATATGAGACAATGCAGAAATAGTTTTGAACACAATCACTGACAAAAAAAGGACACTACTACAGTAATGCATACTTGTGTATCCATGCAGACAGTTTTGGTTTTATTTGCACAAGTTTTGAGGTATCCAATTTTGAGATTTAAGCATATAAAGGGCCATTGTACCCCTGTTATTTTATTTGCCCAACTGTACAACAGGCACAAGTTTCACTGATAAAAAGTCTTTCCTTGCTAGAGGGTCAGTAAACAGGAAAGCAGTCAGTTGAACAGGCAAGCAAACCTGACAGAGAGCAGGCGAGAGCTGGGTCAGGAAAACTTGCCAAAGCCAAACTAAACAAGGAAGTTTTGCTGATATGCTAAGACAAACTGGCACAGGCAAAGAAGAGTACAGAGACTAAATACACTATGAAGGGGAAGACGATGAGACACAGGTGAAACCAATCAGGGCGAGGCAGACAATCACACTGGGGGGAGACACGAGGGCAGGAAGTGAAGAGCAGAGCATGCCAGTTTTAAGAAGATACTGTCACTGAGATATGATACCTTGCCACCTACAGTGTAGATGAATGGAGTTGCTCACAGCACTGAAAAAATATTTTTAAATAGTTACTAAAAACTATGAATGGCAACAGAAACTACCAGAAGTAACTTAAAACTGTGGGGGCCTTGTGGTTTGGTGAACCAGTCCTTTAATGGTAAGTGAGAAAATGTGTTTTTAAAAATGATTTTGGTGAACCAGCTGTTTAAATGCATACACGAAAAGGTGCATTTTATGCTATAACAACCGTTTTCTATTATTAGTGATCGTGTTCAAAATCCGCTTTTGCTTTCCTCATGTTCAGTCAGGAGTGCTAAAGGAGTCCTCTTGTGATATTGTGTTGAACTTTCATGAAGTTGGGGGGCTCACAAGAGACACATCAATGAACAATGAAGTAACAGGTGGAGATAATCTGATTTTTAGTCACTTCAAAAAAATCCTAAACTTCCCATAATGCAACCAATTGCATCTTTTTGTTAGACTCTGCCTCCTTGGTGTTACACCATCATCTTTTTAACTCTGTGCTATCATCAGTGTTCTCTTCTCAGAAATTAGAAAAGCTCCTCCAGAACCACAGAAGACATATACGCAACTGTTTTCAAAGGTCAAGTATTACTCCTCAGTCCCAGTAAACTGAGATTCATGTGCAAAATCATAATGTGTCAAAGTTAAAATGATCTCAATATGAGTGAAACTGATAATTTTACAAAGGAGTAAGTGACAAAATATGTGTTACTTGTAATTCCTGTGAACCAACTCTTTTTGAAGGTATTCATTTGCAGGATAATATCACTGAAAGTAACGATCCCATGAAAGTGATATGGTGATGTTAACCAGACAGCCAGAAGAATAAACACAAAAAACACACAATTCACATCTCTTTGGTAGATTCTGAGTTACAGTCAAATACACACTAAAACCTAGAAAACCTACACAGATCCATCCTGCCATCCAAAATTTTTGTAATATATAAGCCAACCAAAGAAAACAAAACATGCTGGTACTGCACTTTCTGTTCGGCTGCTGTGTTATTACAGGAAGGGTCTCAGATAAAGGGGAAGGGTGTCAAATATTTATCCAAAAAACATTATACACAAGGTAAAGTTTCTCTTTTATTCTCATCTCTTTATGATTCACATAAACATTATGTGTGTCATGCTTGGCCAGTTATAATACAAACAGTTATCTCTGCAGTATTTCTGTACATGTCTTGATTCCCTAGAGTTGACTGTTTAGCATCTTATACATTTGTAAACGTTATCACAGATCATAATATGTAATATGACAAAAATGTACAAAAGAAAACAGTTCATGTATGCTTTCTATATTAATTAACCTAATGCTACAAAGAAAAGAAAAAAAGAAAAGAAAAAGTGTAACATGAGTTTGACAGGAAAATCACAAAATGATCAATGCTTGTTTTGTTGCACTCTGTGTTATATTTCAACTATGGAAATTTGTGCATATGCCGTTTTTTTGCAAATTGACCTAGATGGAATAATCTTGTCCATTATATATACTGCTATAGCCGGTTAGCTTAGCTTAGCTTAAAAACTGAAAACAAGGGGAAACAGATAGACTGGCTCAGTCCAATCTACCAGCACCTCTGAAGATCAGTACATTTTAGTTTTTCTATGTTCAGACAGAGCCAGACGAATCAATGAGTGAGTCAAGGGGCCATGGTTAGCTTGGATATGTCTAAGCTTTGTTTAACTCGGTTTCGATTTCTCATATTTAATGTTGTAGTTGATGCAGATTTTTCTTAAGACTACAAGAATGTGCTGCACAATGAAAGAAATGCTGAATGAGAGATTGCATTGAGTTACGGAAGCTTGTGGAACAAGTGGCTAGCCCAGATGTGGTGTCATGACTTTTGCTTTCTGTATTTAACAGACAGATATGGGAGTGGAATCAAATAAACAACAGTGAATATTTAACGAAACATATTTCCCAATCAATGTCTTAACTACAGAAAACATAGAAATACAAAAACCAAGACAAAACATCTGCTAAAAAAATCAACAGAAATGCAAGTTGCAAAGGTTCGTTCATCCCTGATCTTGCAGCAAGGATGCAGAACACTTTCTTTAACACTTTCTTTCTCCAAACCAGTGGGGCTGAAACATGAGTAGGATATATAGGGGTCGGAAGCGCTTCAGTGTAAAATTCCACTGCTGTGTGTGCAGCCTTTGGGCCCCTGCAGGTATAGGTGTAGTGTCTCAGATTCCAGGCATCCACTGCTGCAGGTGTAGTGTGTAAAATTCCACTGAGTACTGCAGAAAGCCACCATTTTCAGATACAAGTGGGTCTCGTGTTACACTCACCACTCCAACTCCATTGCCCTGACCTAGCTCCCCTTCATTGTACAGGGGCCTCTGAGGACTTCTGCAGAAAATGTATTGTGTTGAAGGAGGAAATAGCCTGATAACGACTCATACTGTACCTAAAAGGCAGTCTGAAAGTCTGACAGGAAGATAAATACAGCTTTATCTTCCTTGGGGGGGGGGGCTGTTTCTATGGTACCAAGTTTTGTTTTTCCAAAATGGTGGCTTTAATATGAGACACTCCCTACAGGGGAGTGCTACTTCCCTGTAGGTGGGTAAACATCATTGAGATGTTTGAGGTATCCAGAGGGGGTGCACTTGGTGTGTTTAGGAGTTGCCATCAAACAAAACCAATGGTTACAGGCTCCTCTTCCATGTTTTCAAACAGAATTACATGTTTAGACGAGCCATCTGTTGAAAAAAATAAAAACATGGCGATTTGCATATCTCTCTATTCCCATGTTCAATATGGAAAGAGTTCAGCTCACAAACAGGTACAGTACAGGTGCGGCTCTTAACAGTGCAGTCACACAGCTCAGAATGTAGAAACAGGCTGCATACAAAGTCATAGGAAAAATGCAAATGCAGCTTCGCTCTAGGCAGCAAGAACTAAAGCCAAGAGGTGTCCACGTGAATTGAGAATGTTGTAGCTGGCATAGACATTTCACATGATGCACTAAACTAAGGGGGGTGAGCACACTATTTTCAAACATAAAGAACTAAGCGAAAGAATAGTTTAGGATTCTCAGTAAATATCAAAAACAAAAGATAGGATTCACAACCAATCTCTGTTGTTTGTTATGGAGCCAGATGTTAGCTGTAACAATCCAGTCACACTGCAGTGTTTTCAACATCCAGTCTTTCTCACAGCAAGCAGGGAGAGCAACCATCAGCTGTTTGTGGTCAATAAACACCAACAGTTTTCCCAGCAGTTGCATTGGTGCAAATGTTGTGTTGTATATGAATGCAATCATAAGGATTTCACCAGTAAACATGAAGATTCTTTACATGCAAATTTAGCTCAAATCAGAGATTAACAAATCCTCCAGATTAAAAATATAAGAGATATAAGAGATCCACATGACTGCATTTTCCAAAAAGAAAATGATGTACTTTAAGATAGCATCTACAAAAATCCCTAACGTCCGCTTATCCATAGTCTCCAATTTAGCCAAACAAGGCTACTGGTTATCATTTCCCAAGTGATTCCAAGGTTTTGGGTGAGGATCTCTTCTGAAAAACTTCTTTTTCGGGATCTCGCTGAGTGAGAAGGGAAGGGAGAGGCCTGAGGGGTTCTCTTTCCGAGAGACAATGCAGTCTTTGATGGCTTCTTTAATAACCTGCAAAGGACAAATACAGGGATTAAATAAACCATATTGCATTGTCAATCCATTAAACTGTGTTTCAAAAGCTCCAGCAGTAAATAGAGGTCTTTAAGATAACTGGTGATTTCACTATCATCTAACAATGTCCTTTAGTTTTATTAGATATTTTATATTTTTTATTTGTAGACATATATGGACAGACGGATGGACGGACAACTCTAAAACATAAAAAATGAGGGGATTATGAAAGTCACTAGGATTCATCCCCTGAGGACCATGAATGGCAATGAATTTCATGACAATCCATCAAAAAGTTGTTGGCTGTTTCAGTCTAAACGAAAGTGGTGGACCGAGCGAACAACATTGCTATCTTTACAGCTACACTGCAAGCATGGCTAAAAAAGTTGATTGGAGCAACTTTAACTCTAACAGAGATCAGTAGGCACAAATTAGTTTGAAGTCTTATTCTGTGGAGTGCATATAATTAATGATGGATAAATTACCAAACTTTGGTGTTGCTGGGCAGATTTCACATGTATTGATAAAATCTGATTGACGTTACATCAAACTGGAATGTGATTTTGCATATGACAGTGCCGCTGCCTAACTGTTTATTTAAGAAAGTATCTACTGGCAGTACGTAGAGTAAGTCTGTCTGAATGAGCTGAAATTGTGGTGAAGTCAAATACACTACATCACATTTGAGTCCTTAATCAGCATGGAAGTGACTCAGATTCGGTGAGTGAAAGTCAGTCTGACCTTGCACAGTGACACACCTACTGTAAACTCGTCAAGGCTTGTACTATCCGGTTTTATATGGGCCTCTGGGATTTGAAATTTTTCATGTTGCACAATGAATTGATATTTGTGTAATGACAACACAGAAATGCAAAACTTCCCCGCTGACAAAACTTAATTAAGGTAGTTAAACAATAAATGACTGAGGAAATGGATGATGTATGGCCTATGTAACATGTGTAGGTAAGGTCATGAATCACTTTTTAGCCCCTTAGCAACCTTACCTCTGTCAAACTGTAATATACACAGCAGAAATGACTATTGACTGATGTTGCTTGGGCTTTCCTCCAAGTAAACATCCTGTAGTAAAATTATAGGGACCGAACTGACCTCCAGGTTGTTGAGAGTGTTGAACTCCATGAGGTCGTGGAGTCGGGTAAAGGCCTCGTTGGAGTACTGGAAATTGAAAGTGGAGAAAGGTGACTCGGGGTCGTCAAAAATGTCAAAATCCGCCAACTCCTTCTCCTTCTCAGTTTCTCTGGGAACACCTGTAAGTAAAAGTATTCATTAAAGTAATGAGTAAGACTGTTAATAAATACATAAAATCAATGTCTTTAAAAACTGATCCCAAGACTTGGTATCAAGACTGGGACAAAATAAATGAAATATGTTGTGTTTAAAAGTTCTGACTTAGTAAACAGCAGTTGACAAAATCTTCTCACTCCAAGGTCTGTTTATTTAGTCTACACAGGACTGAGCATGATTGACAGGCATCCTGTTGATAGATGATAGATGACTACTAGCTACACTGTTATTATAGTTTGACTATAAACTATATTTGAATCTCCAGTGCTGGCACAGCGCTAAGATGAAGTGGTGAGATAATGTGGAGATGGGCCATAATATAGCAATGTAATGAAATAGTATTTCTAATATATAATATTGTTATCAGCTGATGTTGACCCTAGTTTTCCCCACGGAGGGAAACATTCCCATTTGGCCAGACGGACTTCACTAGATAAACTTTCGCTGGTTGTTTGTTGACGTTAGCGTAGTTCATTTCTAATCTAACGTTAGCTAGTGTTGCCCATTGTTTGCATTATGGGAGCCAAAAGAGGCATTTAAGCAAGGCAATTTTCCAGGAAATTTTGTCCCAAGTCCTTTGCAAAGAAATCATTTCACAGGCTGGTATTGGCAACCAAGAAAATCTAAATTTTTAAGTTACGTTACAATCTGCAATAAAAGAACAATTAATATGTGTAAATTGTTTCACATGTTATATATACTACTTTTAATAAATAACGAAACACAAATGATTCAGGAAGGAAATTTGAAAGGAATTGCAAAAAAATGGCTCTTTCATTTTAAAAATATCTGCCTCACCTATCCACATAAAATAGTTTGACTAAATAATCCTAACCTGCATTTCCTACTGTAGCTTTTTCTGGATTTCTCAATCATGGATGGAGTTTTCTCAGCATTATTTCATAAACCTATTAACTGTTTATAAGGTAAAGAATGAACTATCTTGCTCACTGTTCATAATGGTTTGCTCTGTTCACACCTGATTCATCATCTGCTTTTACTTTAACATTGATCCTTGTGAATTTGTTTTTATTGTATTATGACAGGTGTAAAGATGTTGGCCACACACAGGAAGAAGTTGTGGCTTAGAGTTTATTAAGCCGATTCAATAATAGCCTATATAACTTCCTTTTTTCACAAATGGGAAGTCCATTTAAAGTATTATTTATTCAGATGTCTTTTGGGTTTGAGTGCAAAAAGCTTATGTAACGTCAATAAACATACTGCGGAAGTATGTGGGCTGATGACCTACTAAATGTAAAGTTAGTGTGCCTTTGTATGTCTTGTGATGTATGGCATGTTTACACATAGAGCTCTCCCATTAGAGCGAGAGATTCCCTACTGGCACCTGGCTCCTTAAGGAACCATAATTCACCCAAGCAGCTCATAAAACTCTGAACACACAGAGGTTCACATTTGTGTGTGTGTGCGCAACCACACACAGTAAAAAGAAGGCATGCTTATCGGCAGACACACCATTTCCAGCACAAAACCACAGTGACCCTGAACTTTTTTTCCTGGGGTCACTCAGATGAGGGGCCCACTTTTTAGCAAAACATAAAACAACTGTCTGGTGTCAACTGAATATAGTTAAATTCCACAGCACAACTTCGAGGAAGAGATGCCTCATGTGCCATGACAGTAAACCAGCATTATTATAATAATACAGAGAGCCCTGGCATATTTTCCCCCTCGCACATTCTGTGGAAAACTCCACATATGCACATGCTTACCAGGCGCTTTGAACTGCCTGAAGTTGATGTTGACCAGGACAAAGTGGATGACAGTAGGGCAGTTCTTTTCTCCTTTTTTTGGTTTGAAGACATAGCATTCCTTCAGGCCTTCGCGGTCAAAGACTTTTGGGTCGATCTTGGGGAATGGGAGCTTGTTCATTCGAGCCCACTTTTCTGCTAGCAGAAGCTCCTGTGGCATAAATTTACAAATTAGGAAACGTTGGTCTCATCTCCTGTTTGTCGTGGATTGCTTTTAGTCAAATTCTGACCTTGAATGGTGGGCTTGAGTCGCTTGGTCGTGCAGAAAAGTCAAAGGAGATGATGAGGTCAACGCCACGCTGCGGCCGCAGGATGAGAGGGTACGGGAGGTTGTAGGTCAGGCCGCTGTCCACCACGTGGATCTTCTTACTCTTCACATCCAGAGGCTCGTAGATACGATCAAACTCATCTGGGTCTGAGAAAATCACACGTTAATGATGTAGCATGAATGGAAAAATTCTATTGTCTACGAACAAATTTCATTCCACACAACTGACCGGACTAATTTAACTGCGATATGATTCACCTACGGAAGTAAGAAGAAGGGGGGTAGGGCTGGGTATTATTACCAGCAGTGACAGCATGTGGCTGGTATTGTTTTCACCTTGTGAGTCTGTGTGTGTGTCATCATGGCAAAATGTGGTCCTGGAGACACCTACTGAAGCAGGAACTACCAAAAGGGGTGGTGTTGAGTACTGCAGGTACTGGCAGGTGTTGATATGTGTGTGGACAGATTTTGTCACCACAATAATGTCACAGTCGTGCAAGATACAGTCACGAAAATTTACAGGTGTGTAGCTGAGCTCAAAATAAAGGCCAATATTGAAGATGATCAAAAAAGAGTTAAAAGGACACAGCTGGAAATGAATGCTAATGTTGGTGTATGCTGGACGTGCAGCTAGCATGTACAACACAACTTAATAAGTTGATAATATGCCAGTGTTGTGTTGACAGTTTTTTTTCCACTGCACCCAAGTGTCCAAAAAGATCATTTAATGCTGCTCTACCAAAAGAAAAGTACAAAGACTTTGCCAAAACACAGTATAAATCGACAAAACTATGATTGAGATTTGGTCAATTTGGTGCAATTCAATCAGTACAGAAAATATATTGAGGTTAGTTTTGGAAACCAGCTCTAACTATACTTACATGTACAAGTGTTTACAGGTGCTATATAGTTATTCTTATCTATTTCCAAATATTTTACTATCATTCCTGCAGTGTCTGATAGGATTATCAAGAAAATGTAGAATCATTTCCCTTGACATAGATGTTTCCCTGTTGAGCTGCAGTGTAGGAATAGTAACCAACTTGTATGAGGACTGTGGATTTTTCTCCAATCTCCTACCCTGAAAGTGCATTAGGAAAAGGTCTTTCAAAAAGGAGGAAGAATGATTATTTTAATAAAAAAAAACTGTTTCAATGTTAACATGAGAACCTGACTATGTTTGAAGACAAACTTGTAAAACTGTGAACCTATCCTTTAAGTCTGAAGGCAGTGAATTGTGACAGTCTTTGATCCCTCTTACCTGTGACAGCATCCACCTCCTCCTCAGGTGGAGGAGTGTGATATGTAACCTCAGTGACTGGAGAGAATGGGATGCTGGTGTTCAGGTTCAGGCCCAGCATGAAGTTATGCACCTGGTGACACAGTGGGAATGGGTTATGGAGAGACAAACAGGCAGGCTGTTGTAAATTTGACTATAAATTGGAAATAAGAATGCAGATAGAGCACATGCAGTGTTTTATATGAAGAGTTACATAATTTTAATGGCTTGCAGTTAATGAACATATTCAGGTACCTTCCCAGCCCTGCCCTCTCTTGTGTTGAACAAGGCAGAATCACTGAAGAGCGATGTGAACATTCGCTGAACCCAGCTGGCCTGAGCAGTGCGATGAAACTCATCCTCTGCCTCCTGGTTCTCTGTCCCACCTGAACACCAAAACCAAAGGGAGACAAAAATATAGTCTAACAAAAACACTTACTATGGTTCAAGATCTGTATCTTTCTGCAATAAAACTAGGAGACTTTCCAAACTTAATTGAACTCAAAAGAGGTTGCCTAAATGCCTGAAATAGACTAAACTATATAATTTAACAGTACAAACAAGAATTTAAAACAATGACATACAAGATCTCGTATAACAAAAAGAGAAGTATGACTAGTTTACCTTCCAAAATATATTTTAATCTGCCTTCGCCTTAATTGTCTCTTTCACACATTCAAATGCTGGACTGAAACTAGTTTTTCAGGGCCTGTGAACAGCTGTCAAGTTTGACGGAAATCTGGTTGCAATTCAAGTGTAGATTTTGTTTTTAATTTCCATTGTTTACTTTACTAGGAACAGTTGGATCTAAAATTCAAATCAAATGTAGGAAAACATCAGAAATATCCTGTATGTTACTGAAATGAAAAGGTGCTTTGAGACTTTTTTAAAACGGTCAACTTGGACTTGGACAGTTGCTGTTAATTCTAAACTTTCCAACTTCCCATTTAGTCATAAATGTTTAATGTTACAGAAAAAACCTAAGATATGTAAATGTAATTCCATCTCCCTTTTACCCTCTCTCTCTCTTTTTCTCTCTTTCTCTTTCTATCTTTAGTTCTTGGATCAACTATTTCACTCAACTCAACTGATATAGCGTTAACTTCCTAAAATTCAGCTTGTAGAGCATTCTGTTGCATTATGTGTATGTGCAAACCAAATAGTTAGAAGTAAAAGCTTGAACATGTTTTCATGACTTGGCATTAACCACAGCAGCTGGTCTGATATACTTGTGTCACACTTAAAGATGTCAACAAATGTCAGCAACATAACCACAAAAAAAAGAAAAAAAAAGTGTTGAGGTATCAACTTTCCCTCAAGCCCAATAATATGTATTCACAGTATTTTGACTTTCTTAGCTTTCACAGTCACACATCACAATTGCACCTTAACAAATTTAATATGCTGAACAAAGAGGTGCCGTAGTTCGTCATATAACTCATGTAGCTCACCTTTGCGTGGCTCGTCGTCATTGTCCAAACTGTCTTCCCCGACAATGTGCTGCGGTTTGATCTGCTCTGTAAGGCACAAGACAGCTTCACTCATCCAATTACAACTTAAAAAGAAGCTTGTTAGTCTCATTTCCACCACACATCAACACTGTACCTGACAAAATATTTTTGTTCAGTTATGTGACATTATCAAATTCACTTATTGTTTTTTATTTCTATCAAAGTAAGTCCTTAAGGAAATGCAATACACCCAACAAACTAATGCATTCTTTAACTGGGTGGGAACCTTTTTAACACTTCTGTAGAATTAATGCATCGTCTGACTGTGTCTGAATGTTTAAAGGTCACCACATACGGATGCATTCAACCATAAAACACCTGATGAGCTGTCAGAATAATCACAGGAAGCTGATAGTTTCCCATTGTTGTGGAAACATCACTCAAACACGCGCGCACACACACACACACACACACACACACACACACACACACACACACACACACACACTCAATCTGGTGAGATAATGTTAGACTGGCTATTTTTAGAGGTACATACTGGTGTGAAACAATAATAACATACCAGAGACACCAGAAACAAACACCTGTGCTTATTTATACTAAGTATATTTACACTAAGTATCCACACTGAAAACACAGTTCAGATTATGTTGAAGAACTGCTCAAGATCTACAATTTCAAAATGTAATGTCACATATACTGAATGGGAAATATCCATTCTAATTATTTAGTGGACATTTTTGTATTTTGATATTTTCTTTTATGAAATACTTAATTAATTGGCAAGATACATGAAGGTATTTAAAATATTTTTGGATTAAATAAATATAGATATGCTCATGAGCCTGAAATAGTCTTCCAGTTAGTTGTCTGAGCACTTTTTTAAATACATTTTTTAAATGATGATTTAATATTATATAAACTTTATTGTGGAGCAAATGTTTTTATTATATCATTCAAAAGTGGTGGCATTTCTCTTCTACATTCTTCTTTTATTTTACATTTATCTAACCCTACTGCATTATTATGAATCAATATCATATTGTTTCAATTTTTTTTGCTCATTGTTTTATCTACTGGCAACTACTGGTCATATCATATGATCTGTCTCAGCAGGTCAAGAATGAAATTTTAGTCTCAAATTTGAAGCCAACGTCGATGACAAGTCCTTACAGTGCTCTGAAAATCTATAATTCCATGACAAACTTTATCTCCTGATGAAGATGATGTGATATGATTGAAATCTCCAGAACAACTACTCAATCAACCCTGTGGTGAGATTGTTTTATGAATTATTGGCTCAAACAAATGTATTTGTGCATTGCATTTAACCATTAAAGAAACATCATTTAAGTCAGTACTGTGTATTTCAGTCCAGACATACTGAAGGAAAAACAGAGAAAGGTTACCTAACTCCTCCTCCATGGTGCTGCCACCAGCTGTGTCTTTGACGCCCAGCACTCTGTTGAACAGAATCGAGAAGGCGCTCCCCCACACACCTGACACACCGAAAACATACTGTCAGTATAATGGGTGAAAGTTTGATTGTGGTGTGGATGCAAACATCTTTCTTACCCATCAGAAAATGAAGAGGGTTTTCCTCATATTTCTTCACAACAGTTCCCATGAAGAACTTGCTTCCAAACAAGTCTGGGGTCATGAAGGTACCGTACTTTGCCATCCCAATTTCATATGGGCTGAACTCCACCCAGTCTACGGATTGAAACCTCAGTGTTAATGTAAAATAAATTAACAAACAAAAACACCATATAACACTCAGTAAGCACCTGTTTACAGTGTACTGCTCTGAAAAACTTGATTGCAAACAGGTTGCATTTGTATGCTTCAAAGGCAATGCATGGAAAGAGCATAGTTGGTATTAGCAATTACTTTTACTGTTTACTATTACTTTTTACTGCTTTGTAATTAGACATATTTGAAAGTGTCATGATCACACTGAAGCACTGAATACAACAAGACTAAGAGACTACAGCTATGCTGCCAAGCCAGCTCTGTGGAGTTGTAGGCACAGCAGTGCTTAGAGCTAAATGCTAACATCTACATGCTAACCACATCCATGATGCTAAGATATTCACAATGACAGTGCTAATATGTTGATGCTAAGCGGGTAGAATCATTATCAGGATCACTCTAGTTGTTCAGTTTGTGTTTTTTTAAGCAATTTTAAGCATGCCTGAACATGTCAAAATAAAATGCAAAGGTAGAATAGTGCACAGCAGAGAGAGAAATCATACCTTGAATGCAGTAACTGTTGTACTCAATTTCAATTTCAAGAGTGTATTTATTTTGTATCAATTCAGCTTCATTTGATATATTTTAAATGAAAAAAATCAGCACGAGCATGACAAGAGCCACAGAACCTCTGGGCCAGTTTTTGTGTTAATCTGTTTAAATTGCAAATTAGTCTGGGAATATGTACAGTATATCCTGAAACAGCAAGAGCAGGTCCTGCGTTTTCACCAAATCTTGAGGCCAAGTCTTGTAGAGTGTCAAAATCTTGTTTATAATTTACTTACATAGTGTGTATGCCTACATTTTTGCTTAAGCAAAGTGCTGGCTGGTTTCTGAGCCTCTGACTAAAAAATTACAAAGCTACCAAGTATTGCACAGTAGACAATGCGCATGGAGTGGATGGAACTGGGTGGTCAATAAGAGCCCAAAGATTTTTTTTCTAAGGGCCCAAAGGGGGCCCTGCCTAAAGAGAGATGAAGCCAAGGCCTGAATAGACATGTGGTATGGAAAGTCATTATGACATGTTTGTAACAGCTTTTACAGCAACAATCTGTAATCCTCCAGCACTCAGGTATGTGAGCACAAATAGTTGCCCAAATGCATACAATCATACACACAGTCCTATTCACATACAAAAGAAGACCTTAAACCTCTGCAACCTTTTAGACAATAGTTGCTTCTTAAATGTGCAGATTGTTTCACAGCTGGACTTTATTCAAACTGTCTTTTGACTGCCATGTTTTCCATTGACAAATGGGATTTTCAGTAAGTAGAGAGTCAAGAAAACCAAAGAAGAAAAAGTCTATTTTGGTAACACTTTTAATGACTTAGCACTTGTGCATCTACTTTTTGAAGATCATTTTTTAACTTTAGGCATGATGACGAGAACTAACAAAAGATAAACTACATGTAATTGTGGAATGTGAAACTAAAACATGCTCAGAAACTGTCTGCTATTTATTCAGAACATCTCCAGAAAGTGTCTCTGAGACCTGTCCAAGAATTACTGCAGATTTTGTTCCTTTATTGTATTTTCTATTTAAATGTCTGTTTCACTGAAGGGTAGTGTACAGTTGCTGTGCAGACTACATCAACAATGAGGAAGTATTGTACAATGTAGGACTAACCCAGAGTATATCGTGGCATTTTGCACACGTTTTGCACACGTCGACAGACCACAACGTCATGACATGTCCTCACTGCGCAAGCAGAGCAGCATTATAAAGAAATATGTACTGCTTGGTTATTTTGCATGTGGCCAAACTCATCTGATCATCTGTACTTACTAATTTCATATGCAAAAAGGTCTGTGAGTGACATGGAATACATGCAATATACAATTTAACATAAAAGCATGTGCAGATACTTACAAATCAACAGATATTTACCTGCAAACATGAGCTCAGAAACATCTGGCTTGACATGCAGACATGTGAAGAGAGGAAGGGGACTCTGTGCCTGGTCTGTCTTCTCCTGGATTTCACTTAGCTTAGTGTCCATTCTCTGGTGGGAGAGAGCACAGTCTTTGAAACATTTACACATGCAGAGGATATGAAAGATGAAGGGAAGATAAAGATTGATGTACTCGTGAGGAGATGGACAATTAAGAAATTCCTTCAAAATTAAAACAAACAACAGCTGTCTGGCGACTCTTACCGCGGGAATAAGCGTCTCTCCTATGAGCATACCAAAGATATCAGTAAAGGTAACAGGCTGCCCTGAGGCCTTTTTGGTCCAAAGGGCCTGGATGTAGTTGGTGATGTGTTGGGGCAGCAACAGCCTCAGTGGGTTACTGCTAACTCTCTTCATTAGCTCCTTGTTGATATCCATTGGGCCCTTGTTTGGAAAGTCAGGGTGGGAATAGAGAGTTGACATGTACCTACAGGGATAAAGAGGGACGAAGAAAGTTGACATTGCAAATATATAAATTCAAGGAGGATAAGATGTTGCTTAAAACTACGATTCTGCTCTTTTGAGAGGGTTTAAGTAGAAAATACTGTACCAAGGAAGTTATATCCACTATGTCTCTGAAACATTAAGATAGAGACTGAAATAAACCTTGCTTGCTTTCTTGATGACAGCTTCATGTCAGCAGAGGAGACTGGAAAGTTTGCCAGAGCATGGAGGAGGCAACACCGAGGAATAGTCAGACAGAAAGGAAAGACAAAAGAAACGCAGCAGTGACAACAAAGACAAAGATAAAAAGAGAGAAAGTGTCTTTAGAATTAAGAGGTCAGAGAGAGGCAGGGTGTAAAGAGAGAAAAGAGAGGAAAAGGAAAAATAAAAACTGACCATGTGGATCCAGAGAGGCCGGCGACATATGTGGCACAATCCAGGACCCCAGACTCAAACAGCGCCTTCATCACACCTGAGAAGCCCACCATGGCACGGAAACCGCCTCCTGAGCCTGCTATGGCTATCACTGGTACCTGCAATGCAACACACACACACACATACAGAGTCATAAGAGGAAGAAGATGAAGACGGAGGTGCACTTAATCACATACTTACATACTACACAGCAAGAGCCCCACATTCATTTTCTCTACCATTCTTTCAGCAGTACCTTCTCTCCCGTGCCTCTGTACAGTGTGTGTGCCATGCCAGTTGCTTCACACCTTCACAAACTTTATTAACTTGTGCCTTCAGATTTTCAACTATTTCATAACTCTCATTGTGCAACATGGCTTCCTCCTTCCATCTGTGTTTATCTCATGATCAGTTCTGAATATTCTCACAGAGATATTTAAACAAAAGTCATCCTGGACATGGACTTAAGGGATGTTATAGAGTAGAAGAGGGCAGTAGCTGGTTATCTCATTCCTCTGGAGCTTCCGGCAAATGCTGAAGACATGAACAAGCCTGGCTGGAGATTACAACAAGCTCCAAGGGCGTGTAGCCAAAACCACACCAGGGAGAAAATGAAACTTAGTTTAGTGTAGAGCAGGGGAAAGGTTAAAGTTTTGTAAGGCTTACTATATAGTTTGCATTCTCAGTGTGAGAAATTTCTAAGTGTTATTATAAACAGATGACAGTTTTTTCACACTTTTGAATTTAGCAAGTGAGCAAGTCTGCAGCAAGTGTGGTTACATTATCCGCAAACAGACCTCAAAACTTTGCACGTGAAAAGGCGTTCACCGCCATATCAGCACAAACGTCAAGTGGGCTAACTGTTTCGCCATCTCCAGTCTTTATGCCAAGCTACTGTAAGCTAATGGTTGCAGGCAGAAGCTTTATATGATATACACTCTTATATTTTTGTATTGATTAAACAAATGATATATAACATGTTAATTAATGAAATTTGGATGTATTACATGGATTTTGTTATCTTCAGACAGAGCCAGTTAGCTGTTTACCCCACTTCCAGTCTTTATGCTAAGCTAATAGCTGCTGGATGTAGCTTCAAGTTTACTGGAAAAATAAGAAATTGTAAAATTGTCAGAATGTCAAAACCATTCCTTAAAGTATCAGTCAGTTACAAGAAACAGCATAAAGAACCGGGCAGCAGCCATTCAGGTTTCATACCAAATGTAAACATTTCTGATACGCCAACATACTGTATGCAGTAAGTGCAACAGCATGGTGAAACTGAGTGAATAAATTAAGCAATCACCTCAAAGATTCACACAAAGGATTGAAAAAAGTTTTTGTTTCAAATACAGTTGTCATGTTAAAACTATGTTAAATCTACATTTAATTGCTGTGTTCCCACCTCCTGTGGAGAGCTGGGGAGGAAACGAGGCTTCTCCATGTCTAGCAGCTTCTTGATGCCCAGCATCACTCTTTCTCTGCGGGTTTGTCTGAACTGTTTCTCTTTGTCACACAGGGCCAGGCTGAACCGCAGGTCCAGGTTGGTACTGCAGATACAAATGACAGAAATAAGATTTACTAAAATTTGATAGTAGGAAGGCAAACAATACCTAATGTTTCACATTTTCTGCTTGGAGACAGATAGAGGGTGTGATTTCTCCATGTCCGTAACACTAGTGATGATGTTGAAACTTATCTGCCACAGACAAAAGTCATGACTTCTCACCTTGTAGTATTCAACTTCTCATATCTACTAATATTTCAAACATGTATGAAATTTTCAAATTCCTCCCACTAACAACTATGCTGTGATACTATGGGAATTATGAGTATCCTGTCATTTCTGAGTCATGCTGCTTTATCTTCTAATTCACTTTCCACACTGCTGCGAGTGAACTGCTATGTATTCTGGAATTCCTGTGTACTCTTGAACCTGTGACGAATGTGTACACATGCCATGACTGGTATATCCTTTTCACATGAAGGCCCTTAGGTTAAAAAGTAAATAGTGCTTACAAATATCACTGGGGAAAAAAATTGATTCCGGAGGGAATACATACCAAATCTCCAGCGACATCTCTAAGTACACTTTGGTTGCCTGTCAAAACAATTATATATGTGGTTATTGTTCAGTAAAGGGGCAGCTGAGTGTGGCAGGTAATTCTGTTAACAGACAAATATTAAGTGTCAGTAACAAAATCAATTAGTATACATATATAAATATATATATATATATATATATATATATGAGTTTATAATGATGAATCTGCCAAAGACTTTGAGGGATAAAATGTCTTACTTTGCCAATAAAGAAAGTCTCCATCTTTGTCTGGCCCACTCTAAGCTTGGTAAGGTCGAAGGATGTCGTCCCAAGTGTCTCATCCATCACATAATTCGCATCCATTAATGTTAGCTGATTGGAATAAACAACATAATTTCTTGGTTAAATAAACGTTGAGAGCTACACATTAATTATTCTGGCCTGTATTGAAATTTTTCTAACCAATGTAGTTTTGTCAAAAAGTTAAACATTGATAAATGTAAAAAAAAAAAAAAACTGTCGAAAAATGATTTATTTTTCCTGAGATGACTCTAATCTAATGTACCATGAGTCACTCTGATTATAGTGTCAATTATGATGCTATTTATCTCATATTATCTCATATCAGGCTAAAAATGGTAATGTGTTCATGAGGGTTTATGCTCCACCACATCCCTGTTTGTCATCCTATACTGGTATGAACTGTCCTAGACAAGGAAATGCAGGTTTAACCTCCAGGACGTTCTGCTGGTTGGGGTCTAATATGAAGTGAAAGGTTTCGCCCCATTTTGGGTTGATGTCGTTGTCTATGTGCTTGGTCCTCTTTCTGCTCTCTGGGGCTGTTGGGATGAACAGCTCCACATATGGATCTGGGGTGTCCACTGCACACACACACACACACACACACACACACACACACACACACACACACACATGTTCAACAGTATTACTTAACAGCATGTCGCTACTATGTGCATGCAGCAAAGTGTCTGAATTTTAGAATCACATGAATACGGGCAAAAACAAAAAAAAGGATGTATTAAGACTCACACAGGTCACCCAGTGCTCCCTTGGTGACGTTCTCAGCTCGAACCACTGTCACTGTGAATTTGTGAGAAAACTGCTGTTCCACCTGCAATAAAACAGTCAGACAGGTCAGTTTGGCTTCACTGCATCACGTGGGTTCACAGCAGATTCATGTGTCAGTCTCTAGGAACACCTGGGGTTTTTGGCATTTTAACAATGGCTGTCACATCTGCTGTGAATTTCTCTAATTCAGGGTTCACACGGATCAGCAATAATGTTCCCCATGCATTTGGACAGCACTGTTCCCTTTTAAAATATGTGGTAACATTTAATAATACAGCCCAAGATTTACAGTGTGATTTTGTTGTATGAATCAGGTACTAATAGAATACTAACCTGTCCCTACTGGTACTTAAATTAAGCTACAGTGGAAGAAAACAAGACTATAGGGAAACAAACAGTCTTTGTCAGATGGACACCAGACACCAGAACATATCTGTTAGGAAAACCTTACTTGGTAAGTACCATGAGAATATGGCAAAAGGATTTGTTTTGATTATTACTTTTTTACTGTAAGGAACAGGAACCTGTTTATTTAGTTTATTGCTGGGCTCCATATATGTTTGACAAGTCCCTAATTATTCCAAGATTTCTACTCCTTTTTTTTTTTTTTTTTTTTACAAGTTTATGACCCTAAGTCATTAATTTCATGTTTTTCAATAACCCTCTCATTTGAGTTTTCCCTAGAGATTTTCCCCAAGCCCCTTCCCTTACCTTATTGTACCCCTGCAGTGTTGGTAGTATATTGTAACTCTGAAATATGTTAATTACTTCATAGGATCCATAAGTTATTAACACCATTTTTCCCAAACTTCAATTTTGTTTCCCATTACTATGCTCCCTACGTAATCAGCCTTTACCACCAAGTAGTGGTAGTCTAATTTATTTTGCGTTGCAGAAGTGTTACCAGACATGCTAGTATACAGGTCAGTTTGTGCACTCTTGAAAAAATGTACCTTATGTAAGCTAAAACACAAGCATCTTCAGAGGCCATTGATCTCTAAACAGTTTTCCCTTTGTCCTCCATTGATGTCCATCACAGAACCCACATGTTGGATTAAGAACAGAAGCTGTTTTGCATTTTTGCTGCTTGTGTCATAAACAGCCTCTCTTAACAAATCTCAATATCTATGAATGTTCATTGTGGTTTTAAGGTGTGAGCGTTCATGAGGGACACAAGTAGCCTTAATAGACTGCTTGTTGATGATGGTATTTTGCACACCCTAAGTTAATTAGGTGAGAGAATTCAGTTTCATCTAACCATACACAAGTATTTCAAACAGAAAGTGTTTTGAGACTTTTAACAGATAAGAAATAGCTCTTGACAGCTGTGAATGCAGATATCATACATTTTATCTAATGTTCATCTTTGCTGTCTCAAACAATCCTCATTTGACCTTATCACCCGCTGCAGTGATAACAAACATGGCATTGCTGTTGAGATGTTTGTTGCAATATTGGCAAAGAAAGTTTTTGCTTTGGAGCAATTAGACTAAAAGTCATTCAACATTATAATTATTATTAAAAAACCAAGAATATAAGGCCTGCTTTGGAATGATTTGTGCTGTGAAACCACTGGAATCGCTCCAATTCTGTTTGCTCATTTTTACATACTGTACATACAGGAAATAATAACTACGTCAATACTCACAATTATATTGGAAGCCATGATGTGTTGTCAGGTGAGCAATTCTCAGGAAAGTTAAATTTAACTCAAGAGAACATCTCAGTCATCAACTGAAGCATTCAGAGCTTGGAAGAGAAAACAAAGAAGTTGAGTATCAGTGCAAATGCAGCATTGTTGCTTTAAGAAACAGACATTTACATGAAAAAACACTCTTATTAAATGTGTGATGCTCTGAAATGAAAAAAACAGAGTTTTTTCCCAGGGTTTCCGATGATTACATTAGCAAGGTGACTGTCAGTCAACATGTGAAAGCGCAATTATCCACTTTTGACCAGAGCTGCCACGACATTAACAACCAGGCATATTACTGAAACCTCTGGGAAAAGGATATTCTCCTAAAAACAAGAGCCATAGCTACAATTGAAATATCAGTGGAGCCTTTCACATTTTGAGAGGCGGAGGAGGAAGTGTGCTGAGCCTTATACACATGATAGGAGGCCTGGGCCAGTAGGAAGGCTTCATGCATGTTTTTGAGTGCAAGTACCTCACATGCATGTATAGAGACAGAGAGGAAAAAGTGCCAGTAAAAAGAGATGTACTGACATGTGACAAACTAAAGGAAAAACCATCATAAAGTGTCTTAATAAGCTGTTGTACCACCATGTGCCACCAGGACAACTTCACTGCTCCTTGGCACTGATTCTCCATGTCTCTGAACTCTACTGGAGGGATGGACATCATTCTTCCAAAAGATATCCCCTCATTTAGTGTTTTGATGGTGGTGGTGGAGAGCACTGCCCAAAATCCCAAAAATATGTGGGTTGAGATCTGGTGACTTTGAAGGCCATAGTATAAAATTCACATCATATTCATACTCAACAAACCATTCAGTGACCCTTAGTGCTCTATGGATGGGGACATCGTCACCCTAGATGAGACTACACCCAGCAGGATATAAAGGTTTTGTCATAGGATACAGGTGATCACTTAGACCAACTTTGCACTGATTTACAGCGACGCCCTCCCTCTACTCCCTCTAAGGGTACAAGCTCCTGCCATTTGCGCCCCGACAATGAGCCCTCTTTCAAAGTCACTTAACATTTTTTTCCCCTTGCCATTTTGATACAAAATCATAATCAACTTGGCCTCCATGATTGGACGTTAATTGGTTAATTGCATCATTAATATGTCACTTGCCTGTATCTTTGACGTTGATATGATTGAACAAAGATGGTGTATAACATATGGAACAGTAAAATAGCTGGGTGTGCATTTACCGATTGCTGAAAAGAAATTTGAATATGGTGTGTGTGTGTGTGTGAGAGAGAGAGAGGGACTGTGCGTGTGCGTGTGTGTGTGTGTTGTGCTGTGCTGGTGATAGCATATCAAGGTCAGTGAGCCTTTTCTCAGCTGTTCACCAAAGCGTATCATTACTGAGGGGACTGAGAGCACGTAGTGTCTGTGTGTTCACAGCACTGGTCACGTAGTTTGCAACAGTGGTCCAACTTTTCAAAGTGCCAGCTCGCTCTGCCCTTGTTTTTCATTGTACAATGAGTGCATGCAGGCTGCTGAGTCCTGTGCGTGTGCCAGCACTACCCAGAGACTTTCACAGCACTAAATTTTCATATGAGAACACAAGATGTGAAAGAGGCACACAACAACCAGCCATGATGCAAAACAGCTTCAGTAATTATGGGTTTTAAAGGCATACAGTAAATCTCCTACTGGTATACCTCCACCTGAGACATACAAGGTAAAGGTCGGAAGTAAAGAAATCTCACAAGATTAGGCTACTTGTATGAATCATAGTGCATTACCCAAAATAAATATTCCAGTTAAAAGTCATTGCAGTCTGACTCTTATCTGGATTACATGCTTCACACAAAACTTGTTATTACGCCACTATAAACAGGTTTTGCATGATTCTTTAAGCTAGGTAGAATTAGGTCAGATCTGACAGGGCCTGATGGTTCAGTATGAGTGTGAAACATGCAGTGACAGTTGATATTACTGCTTCAGGTTGTGAAAGACAAGAGAGCTGATAACGCTAGCTATTAATTTTGCAATGATGTAAATATAAAACATGACATATAGCACAACAACAAACGCTGTAAACTAAAGATTTAAGAGGATAAACACTCTTTAAGGCAACTCATTGCTTTCGTTCACACTGATCTGCCCTATTCAGCCCTTAATGTGCCTATACTGGTATTTATCTATAAGTTTTAGTACGTGTTTTCAATTTCCTCATCCTGTTGCGGAAAATGAACGCTTAAGAAGACGCTGGTTAACCACAATTATTTGCACCGACGCTCCTCTCTAAATTTCTGTCCAATCTTTTTTACTAAAAAAAAAACACAACACACTACTTTATAAAGACAAAACAATGGAAACATACCTTACCCGTAGCAAGCTATCAACTCACAAATCCTGAAAAATGTGTCATGCTGGTCGACAGTATCGCTTCACCAGAAGAGTAGATGGAGGAGGTGCTTCTCACAAGCAGCATAGAGTACCCGGCAGTCAGGAGAATCAGACTTCAAGTTGGAGACGACAAAATAACTCACTGTTTACAAAATTAGCCGGAAAAAAAATGGACAGCCAAGAAAGAGTTAAAAAAAAACTCCGTACGTGAGTTAATTTTGACCCTGCATGGAAAGCTGTATCTCACGACTGTCCGCACCATTGCGCAAAGATGTCCACAGGAGGGCGCTGTCTAAACACACCATGCTGTGAAATTCTTGCCATCTACTGGAAATTTCCTGTCCATGTTGTAAAGTAGACATTACTTAGAAAACCTTTTGGGTTTAATGGTTATAACTTTAAAAAATGTCTTTTTCTCCATGCAATACTGCCATCAAATGTCCAGAAAAGCTCTGTTATTTTAATGACATAATGATTTGTTTACGCAATATTTTGATTTTTAATATGATACATTTTATCAGCCTATTAGAAATACACCAGGAGGTATTTTCTTATGAATAAATCAGGTCAAATGCATTCTTTTTTCTTTTTCATGGTTTACATAAGACTGCTTCTTTAAAAGATTTTCTAGTTTGCAGATCTCTTTGGTTAAATATATTATATATATATATATATATGTGTGTGTGTGTGTGTGTGTGTGTGTGTGTGTGTATACACAAGACATTCAGGGGATTTTACATGTTTTACACATATGTGTGTATAGCCATTGATTAAAACGTAAAAAATATATTAAATGTCACATACTTACTACACAACAGTTTCCTGTTTGGGAAAAAAATACAGCTTACGAATTACAGCTTCACATATCAAAGTGGGAACTTTTCAGACTGTTAATGGAAGAATTCTATTGAAAAAAAGAGGGAAGGGGAACCAGGAAAGGGTCCAGATTATCAGATTGTCAGATTGCCAGCAACAATACAATACAATCATCATTGAAAGTATATAATACAGGTTGTGAAATAAAAAATATTCCTTAAGTATTATGTCGTTGGTCACTTGAGAGCACATCTTTATTATTCATCTACTAAGCTGCTGCACGTTCTGACGTCACCACGACGATAAAAGGCGCGGCGATGAGCAGTCCAGACATTCAACAACTGCGGAAGAGAGGCGAGAGAGAAGGAAGGAAAGAGAAGAAACCCCGACAAAGTCCTTGGAGTATGAACAGACTCACATTTGCGGTTCTCCTGTTGGCCCTGGGGTTTCTTGTGTGCGAAGGAGGTGAGTAGAAGAACCACAGGATGATATCCAACAGTTTAAGCAGGGGCTGGGAATCCTAAAAGTTCTGCTTGAATGTGTTAAAAAAAATTAGAATTGTTGTGTTAGTTTGGTGTTTTTATTATTGTTGTATTATTTCAGAAGACATTGCAGTTATTATAAAATAAGTAATATGTTGATATGTATAAGACTATTACAGTCTATAACACTGAAAGGTAAAAATAAAAACTACCATGAACCTCAGCTCATATTTGTATTATATTATGGTCTAATAAAGTAGTATTTTTGAAATTTTAAAGATATATTTGTAACTTTTTTCACACATTTTTGTTCTCATCTGAAGGGAATTCTTTGTAATGACCCAACATTATCTGTTACAGGTAACCCATGTTGCTCAGAGCCATGCCAGAACAGGGGTGTTTGCACAGCACTGGGAACAGATAATTATGAGTGTGACTGCACTCGCACAGGATATCATGGACAAAACTGCACAACACGTAAGTCTAAATAGAACAACATATTATATCACATATTTGTTTTGGTGATTTGTTCAGTTGATTTATTTAATTACTCTCTTGGCCTTTACAGCTGAGTTCCTCACCTGGATCAAAATGTCCCTGAAGCCATCGCCAAACACCATCCACTACCTTCTCACCCACTTCAAGGGCTTCTGGAACATCATCAACAACATCTCATTTCTCCGGGATGCCATCATGAGATATGTGCTGACATGTAAGTGTCTCTAGCTGAAGGCAAAATGAGATGGATTGGAACCTGCTTCATAAGACATTAAATAATTTGTAAAGCAAGTTGTAGAAAATCAGATGCAGTGTTTATAATAATAATGAAATGCTTTTTTTTTCCCTCCGTAGCCCGATCCCACATGATTGATAGTCCTCCAACCTACAATGCAGATTATGGTTACAAAAACTGGGAAGCTTATTCCAACCTTTCTTACTATACGCGCACCCTCCCCCCTGTGCCAGAGGATTGCCCAACCCCCATGGGAGTAGTAGGTGAGTACACTCTCTCTGTGTCTGGAGAACCAGTTTTCTCAGATTTTTGAATACTGAGCAAGAGCGTCCATTACATCACGGGAAAATGCACATACTAAAATGATTCTCTCTGCTGGATTGACGGAGTGGAAATATGCTGAGGGAACACAGCTTAACCTGCCCCAGCAAGCCAAAACTAAAGACATGAAACTACCTTTTGCACTATTCACACTGAAAATATAAAGTAAACCTCAATTGTTGCAGTTTTCCCTTAAAGTAAACCATCACACCTCAGTTAGAGCAATGTGTTTTATTATTTATATTTATATTATTTGTATTACAGTGTTGATGTTTACTGGAATGTTCTTAATTGTTTCTCCAGGTAAAAAGGAGCTACCTGATGCAAAACTTTTGGCTGAGAAGCTCCTGATGAGGAGGCAGTTCATCCCGGACCCTCAGGGCACCAGTCTGATGTTTGCGTTCTTCGCGCAGCATTTCACCCACCAGTTCTTCAAATCTGATATGAAGAAAGGACCTGCTTTTACCCAGGCCAAAGGTCATGGGGTAAGTCGAGCAGATTTCAGACCACATCAGATTTCAGTCTGGAAAAAGAGACCACATTTCAGAATGAACGAGTTTTTAAACATGTATTAACATTGCTGTATTTTGCTTTTAGGTGGATCTCAACCACATTTATGGAGACAACCTGGAGAGGCAACACAAGCTCAGACTCTTCAAGGACGGCAAGCTTAAACATCAGGTATGAGAAGAGACAGATGTAGTAGCTCAGGCAGCCACATGTTTCAGACCACAAAAGTTGCTTAAAAATTGTTTCCTCTCTTGCGTACCTCTGCAGATCCTGGATGGAGAGATGTACCCCCCAACAGTAAAGGAAGTGGGTGTCGACATGCACTACCCTCCTCATGTCCCCGACTCTCACCGCTTCGCTGTGGGCCACGAGGCATTCGGCCTGGTCCCTGGTCTGATGATGTACGCCACCATTTGGCTGCGGGAACACAACCGGGTGTGTGATGTGTTGAAGGAGGTACACCCCGACTGGGATGACGAAAGACTCTTCCAGACCACACGGCTCATCCTGATTGGTAAGTTCAAGAAAGATTTTTATGACATCTGCACAAATTGAAAAAAAAAAAAAAAACTTTCGCTGTACAGTAGCCGGGAAAGTAAAATCAAAACACTAAGATGATATTAATGTAGTTACCATGGGAGTTTCAAATAGTGTACTTTTTATTTTGGTGAGCATTTCCCTGTTGTACAGAGTGGAGCATTTCAGGAACAGAATTTACAGAAAATTGTGAGAATTTATTTTCAACACTAGAAAGTGGAAACGGTTTTTGATTGTCTAGTGTCAAACTCTGATCCAAACATCGTTCTGAACAGTGACACTCAAATGTCCAACAATGAGCCAAACACATTTTTGAGTGGAGGGGGACTTCAAACATCTATAGTATCTGCATGATATAAAATATTTAATCATCTGTCCTGTAGGTGAGACCATCAAGATTGTGATCGAGGACTACGTGCAGCACCTGAGTGGCTATCACTTCAAGCTCAAGTTTGACCCTGAGCTGCTCTTCAACCAGCGTTTCCAGTACCAGAACCGCATTGCTTCAGAATTCAACACCCTGTACCACTGGCACCCGCTGATGCCTGATACTTTCCACATTGAGGAGAAAGATTACAACTACAAACAGTTTGTCTTCAACACCTCTGTAGTGACTGAGCATGGCATCGGCAACCTGGTGGAGTCATTTACCAACCAGATTGCTGGACGGGTAAGAATTCTTATTGTCTTCTGGCGGCATTTCATTTGAGATTGTAACATTGCTGTTGCTTTAAGGCTGTATAACTAACTTTTCATTCATACTTTAGGTTGCTGGTGGCCGTAATGTCCCTGGACCTATCATGTACGTGGCCATTAAGTCCATAGAAAACAGCAGACAAATGCGTTACCAGTCTCTGAATGCCTACAGGAAACGGTTCAACATGAAGCCCTACAGCTCTTTTGAGGACATGACAGGTGAGACAAAGTCAAGATCACCCACAAAACCTAAATACTTGTAGGTGGAACGGAAAACGTCAGAGGATTAGTAAAGAGGTTATTATTGACATGAAGTGAAAGGAAATGTCACCTCTAGGCCAAATCAGTGCTGCATTATTAATAGCGTTGTCATGAACTGATCATAGGAATGAAAATCGGGCTCGAAAAACAAACCCTATCGCAACAGGTCATAAGATCAAACCTTATGTCATAGGTAACATATTATTAAGGAAATAGTTTGGTCTTACTTTGAGTCTCCACCAGCTTTGGAGGTTAGGAATTTATTTCCGTGACTCTTGAGAGCCAGATGTTCATTTCATCTTGGGATAGTGTAAGCAGATTGTCATCACAGAGAGTAAGACATAAACAGACAAGAGGCCTCCTGCTTCAGAGGAGAAGATTTAAATTATGCAGAGGATTGAATGTTGATTGAAAACTATCTGTGATATATGAGTAATAATGTTAGTGTGAGACAGATGAGAAAAAAGGAGCAAGAGCAAGTGGGGTGAGAATTTTTATCTGAAATGCTGGATTTGAATCATTTGAGTCAAAACACAGACCCTGATATTTAGACTAGCTACGAGCTTTGCAGCTGCTGAACCAGTGAAAGCGGCCAGACTGAGTAAACAATTTTCCTCATTTGTGTTACTCAGGAGAGAAAGAAATGGCCGCACTGCTGGAGGAGATGTACGGACATGTCGACGCTGTGGAGCTCTACCCAGGCCTGCTGGTGGAAAAACCCAGGGCTAATGCCATCTTTGGGGAGACCATGGTGGAGATGGGAGCCCCTTTCTCCCTCAAGGGCTTAATGGGAAACCCCATCTGCTCCCCGGAGTACTGGAAGCCCAGCACCTTCGGAGGCAGCGCGGGCTTTGACATCATCAACACTGCCTCCCTGCAGAGGCTCGTCTGCAATAACGTGCGGGGTCCATGTCCCGTGGCATCCTTTCATGTGCCCAACATCAAAGAGACGGGATCCATGATCATCAACTCAAGCACGTCCCACTCAGGCGGCAGTGACATAAACCCTACAGTCATTTTGAAAGAAAGGACTACTGAGCTCTAATTTTGTATTTCATTTGGTTATTTTTTAATATATATATATATATCTATATATATTTGTGTATATATATATATATATATTCATTTATTTATTTATTTATTTTTTATATTTATTTGTAATTCTATTTATAATACAACATGAGGGAGTGCAAAATGGATTTTTTTTTATTGAATTTTATAGAATTGTGTATATTTCTATCTGGTTGTCAAGCACAAAGGCCTACGCTTGTTTATTTATTGAAAGACTTGTTGTATTATAAGATTATTATTGTAAGAGTAATATAATGACCTCAGTCACTGTAACTTGATACTTGAAGATTAGTTTACCATTTCACTTACACAGTACACTACACTGCTTTCTTAGATTAACTGCTGCTTTGTGTTCATGCAGTTGTATGGTTGTCCCAGTAAGCCACATTGAGCTGTTTTACAGACAGCGATACATGAGTACACTATAGTAGTGATGTTAACAGTTAACTACATGACTGATCTTGTATCATGTATCACATTATCATGTAATGTACAATAATGCATTCTTCTTTCACTATTGTTTTAAAGATTTTGTTTGCCACTTCAGTCTGTGTATTGGTGAGGGTCATTTGAAATGACATTAATAACTTTGTTTCTAAGCCGCGCTGTTGTTTAGAATTACATCGTGGTTCTATAGATATTGTTTTATTTGATTTATCAGAGCCTTGCCAGATTGACACTAATAAATACTACCAGGAAATAATGCACATTTCTCAGAAATCCACTGGCGTTGTTGTCATTTTCAATGTGACTCTTATTATGCTCTTATACAAACTTATTGATGCCTCAAGAGGACTAAAACTTTTCCTTCCAACAGACACAATGTAATCCACATACTGGATAAGTTTAGAAGTTCAGATGTTATCAATGGACGAATGAATGCAAAAGATTATTCTTTTTTCTTTTGTTTTGTAAGAATTAATTTAAAACACAAAGGCAGACTGTTAGAGTATAGTCTGTTGTTACTCTGACAGTCAATAACACACTATGGTTAAGAACTCAGTTTTCTAAATGTGACACATCCCACAGATGTTTTAATGGAGGTGTGATATCATACTGCTATGGAAATCAATTTCAACTCTATGTATTGCTTGGTTATCAACCTATAAGGCTAAGGTAACTGCATTTCACAGAAGACCATGAAATTAGGTAAAAAGCTCTGGAAAAAGAGTGGATGAGTTAAGAGTATTTTGCCCACGTCTCTTCCCAAAGTCAAGAATGAACGTTCACACTCAAACTTTATAGCTGTAGTTGTGTACACTTACTATAAACATATTCTAGAACTCAAAAAGGTGATGGGGTGTTTCTGTAAACACACTATTGGTTTGATTATGCTGGGTCAAATATTTCATACTCATTACTACAGTTATGTCTCAACAGCAAGTGACAAATGTGTAATCAACAGGTGGGGACAAATATATAGTTGAATATTTACAAAATGCGGAGACCAATCACTCATTCCCTCACATTTTGTGCCTTGGGAATGAACTGTTGAGGTGCCAGGCTTTTACTATTATTTCAGGCCACGCGATTGAAACAGAATGTTTGCTGCGGGCTGTTGATGTTTGTTTCAAGGTTTTCCTCATGTTTGACATCGACCACACCTGGAAGTTTCTTCAGGATGCGGTGAATCATATTGATCGGCATGAGTCCTCATCTATGACAGTTTTGAGGACGTTTGTTCAGCCCACACTTAGGGAGTGTGAAAATGTTTTTTATATTATTATTATTATTATTATTATTATTATTATTATTATTCTACAGGGCAGTGAGACAGGAAATAACCCAATGTATGGGTATTATTTAACCAAGAGTTAATTTCACTCACTCCGTTGGATCAAATGAACAATCCAGCATCCTGGGGTAAATGGTAAAACCCAGCACTTGGCGCAAATCAACCCAGTGCGTGTCCTGTCCCATAGTTGCTCAGCAGTGGGGTTAAAGTTGTTGTTTTTTTATCTACAGGTGTGAAAAGTGCAAGTGAACGACAAACAACATTGCACAGAAATGAACAGCAGATCAATTATCTTAATGATAAGATGAATGTGATTAACGTAATAAATTACAAGTGACCTTCAACTTCTACGTAACTCCTCAAAGAGGGCTCGAAGGGTTGTTGTTTCATCTCAAACCACATTCCCTCAACACACACTCTACACCACTTTGTGCAGCTGAAGAGCTTTCACTTTTCAGCACATCAGATGAAACATGTAGACACTTGTCAGGCTCAAGGAGATTAAAGGAAAGAAATTTATTAGTCCATATTCCTGAGGCAAAGTAAGAGCGTTCTTGAGTAATAATACAGTATATTCCAAGCAACAGTTTCTGTGTATTGTTCTGTTTTGATATTACTGTACTTTGTGTACACACGCTACATGAATGGAAATGGGGAAATGGCTGCATACAGACGTTGGTATTATGCACATTCCTAAAACTAAAATTCCATTAGTGGATGTATGATTTGCCAGGAAAAGACGCAGAGGAATAAAATGGCTGTTTTACTGTATATGAGGTGTGAGGATAAGCGCCCAGTCCAGAGGCGTACAGGAAACCTTGCCTCAGCAGTATAGGCTGGCAGTTCAACAGAAGAATTGTGTTATTTTTCTAGGGTACTCATTCCAAAACAAACATGGTGGAAGGAATGTTGACGTGACTGGCGGCACAAAGTGGTGAGTCAGGTCGCCAGGCATCATCCAATCTAAACACAGACAATGACAAGCTAAATTTTCCCATCCATTCACACATTTCTCACAACTGATACAGAGAGAACATTTACTGTCTCTCCTCACACTGGATGATTAGAGTTTTAAACACAAAACCGAAACCACACACACACAACAAGCGAGGAAATTACATTAATTAAGTCATGTGCATCAGTTGTCATCTCAACTGAACCTGATGGACAGTTCCTCCTCCATCTCATAATCTTTGTCCTGCACTTCAAAGACCAGGCATGGGATTCCCCGTCAGAGGGACTTGGCCCATCACAGCATGAAAATGACCTAATTGTGTGTGCACATTATTTGTGTTCCCCACTGTCATTCACCCAAGGGTGAGTATTATTATGCCATTGTGCATCAGTGTGTGGCATGCTCAGGTCCTGATCTATGAGACTGAGCAGGGGAACACATCTTGCTTTGTGTGGGTGTAATGAGCATGAGCAGGCCGTGGGCCCTGGTGTGGGAGAAGATCAGGAGACTTCAGTGTGTGTTTTCCCTCTGACCGCCTCTGAACCTCTTTGGTAGCAGACTCTGTGTGGGGGCCGTGATCCAAGATCAGAATTACGTGACATTGTGCAGGTGGCAGGACCTGGGGTCAACTGAGAGCTGGCGCCCACCACCGCTGCACGTGAAGCACTGGCGCTGACCCACTAGATGCCATTGGCGCTTACATAGGTTCAAATGACATAATCAACAGTGTAGATTATGTAAGATCACACAGTTTTGCTCAGTTGCTTTGGCACAGTCATTGAAAAAAAATCATGATTCTGGAAACCGTGTTTTAAAGTGGATATAATAATAAATATGATATGAAAAGATATGCAAGCAATTCAACATAGTCATTCAATGTAGTGATTAACCTGCAGAGAATTATTACCCAAATCTGCAGCTCCCTTTTTTTCTGAGCTTTACATTGTTTAGCTTTACTGGTTCATCCTCACTGGTTTCATAGAGTGTTCAGCTGGCTGGCACACTACCTGCTCAGCAGCAAACAGCAGACACACACAGCTACTGAATACCTGGTGCACATGGTGGAGAATTTAGCATCTGAAGAGCCAGATATTTTCTTCAGTAGGTAGTTGGTGGAGACCAAAAACAGAGCTAAAAGCAGAGAGAATATTGGACTTAAATTTGGGTCTAGTCTGTATTTTCATTGTAGATCAATTTGCCAATGTGCTCTATGAAATGTCAGTTTACGATGATAAAAACAGAAATTCACATGATCCATACATTGGAAAATCTGGATCTAGTGAATGTTTGTTGCTTTAATTTGAAAAACTTATCGTCAAAATAGTTACCAATTAATTTTCCGTTGATCAACTAACAACTAAGTAATCATTTCAGCTCTGTATGAGTTAAATGTTTTGAGTGAGTTCTGCCTTCTGCAGGACAAATGAAATATTGTGCTGCGCTGTATTAAGTGACGTGGTGATTATGTGCTGAGAATTGCAACAGCGTTTCAGGAAATACACTTAAGCACTTGAAACAAACTGATAATTATCGCCTTTGCAACGGTGGCTGCAAGTCTGCCCAGACTGTATCCACCCATATGCTGTTGGCAGCTATTGTTATACCCTGACATCTAATGGAGGGACTCTGTTGTGATGATGTGAAGTGTTCTGCTGTTAGGGAAACTTAATTACAACGGGGAAGACCTGCATTTTTCATTGTCAATGATAATGCCCTCTAAATGATAGTTTCACTTCAGTCTTGACACACTCACACTAAATTTTTGTCATCCTTCACGATCACACAATGGATTAGGTAGTAGTGACTGTTGTGAGGAAGCGCCTGGAGCATATCAAATGCCTGCCAGGTATGATTCCAATAAAAAAACCTAGTTAGAAAAAAAGGAAGGAAGGGCAAGGAAGTTAAAGGTGCACTATGCCTTCCTGCATGACATCACTTCTGCTGACGTTCAAAGTAAATACCAAACAAAACAGAGCAAGCTCGCCCCCCCCCCCCATGTTTGCATCGGACTGGAAGCCCTTCTGCTGGCGTAGTTTTCACCACCTTTGAATCGATTCCCCAATATAAATGCGGGTCTTCGTTCGTTCCTTCTCCATCCTCCATCCCCCCCCCCAACTATCTTGTCTCAATGTTTTCCATTGAAAGAAATATTACTGTGAAGCTTTTGGTTAAAGGGAGTTCAGATTAATCATTACAATGCGGGGGAGCATTGATTTTTTATTTTAAACTGCTCATCTATCAATATTAGATAAGGAAGTCACTGATCAGTGTGTCACCTAAATAAGTAAATACAGGAGATGAGCACAGAAGAATGGAAGGAGGAAAAAAT